CGGCGGCAGCCCTTAAATAACCCTTATAGTAGTCCCCCAGATAATCCCTATATAACCCCCTTTTAAGGAGTTTAGACTATAGCTCATATAATCTCCACCCCGTTGTTTAGACTAGACTATGGCTCATTTGGACTCATGGCTTTTCGGTGCCTCCTGGAGCTCATCCCCGTGAGTAAAGGGATCCGACAGCAGAGTGCAGTATTCCTCCAGGGTTTAGGGTTTAGGGTTTAGGGAGCTCAAGACACTCCCGGCATGTTTGGGGGGCTCTCAGCAACGAAGAAATCCAGGGCAATTCAAGATAGGGATGTTCCAAATAATCTCAGAACCAACTGCACGCCACCAGCAAGATACCTACCACAAACATTCCTGCTCGGGTGCATTGTGGAGTCGCTGAAGGAACCAGACTGACAACACCAGCTTTGGCAACGGTGCCTGCCATTTCGGGGAGCGCCGATCCAAAAGTATGGCGAAGATATCCAATACGTGCAGCACATTGCGCTCCTTAGTGCAGTCAAAAGAGATGAAGAACCAAAACCCTAAACTCTAAACCTATGTGTTCCTGCCAACCATCCTCAGCAATGCAACAACCGCCTCCGACGCCATCACTGATCCGGACATGCGCTCGAAAAGCCGAGCAGCCATGATTTGCAGCACTTCCGGGGGCACTCCTAGCCAGGATCGGCTATTTGACTTCATTTCGGGGCTTCCCAAAATTGAATTACCCTTATTGGGGGTCCCTATAATAAGGAGTATAATATATTCGGGTCTATATTGCAGTCCCCTTATTTTGGGAAACTGCAATTTTAGGGTTTGGTGTTTAGGGAACCCTTTTTTTGGGTCCTGATAGGGGATTGAGGGGTCTAGTAGCCCGCACTGGAGGGCAAGGCGAAAATGCTGAAAGATTAGTCAGGACTGGATGAATCAAGAGTTCCTGGGTTGTACCCCTAATGTCGTACCCCTAAAAGGTTTCCCCCTGAATCAAGAGTTCCTGGGTTGTACCCATTAATGTCGTACCCCTAAACGGTTTCCCCCTAATATACAGTAGCCCTTACAAGAGCCAATGTAATCCCCTAGATTCCCTTAAAAGGATCCCAAAACCCAGGGGTAAAACCCCAGAAGTACGAGCCTGAAACCCTTGAATGAAGCTGCGACCCGAGGCAAAAGCTAAGAGAATCTGCTTTGCTGCTAGCCTGGCCCCCGATGGTAGTTTCCCAAGATAGGTAGGTGGGAACTAAAAAAGACCCCGAACATAGTATTATCCCAAGGTAGGTGGGAACTGAAAAAGACCCCAAACATAGTATTATTCTTAGGGTGGGGACCCCCAAAATGGTACCCCTAATTCTAAGAGATGCTTATTGGTTCTTAGTAGGGAACAAGGCAACATTGTCCCTATAGCCTTCTTCCCTACGAAGGAACCAGTAAGGATAGCAACTCACTTTTTATGGTGGTGCCCCCCAATTTTGGGAAACGTTACACCACAAACCCAATAGAACCCCCATATAATCCCTATAAACCCGTTTAAAGGTACCTCTTTATTGACAAATAGCTACCCCCTTCCCATGCAGCCGCAGGCGACTCTCCTCTGGAATCCCCAGCCACGTCAATGACCTTCACTTCCTCCAGGCATAAGTCAGAAACACAACCTTGCTTGGGGCTTAGTGGGGCATAACGGAATGAACGGAATGTATGTGTATATATATTTATATACATATAGAGGGTTTAGGGTTTAGGGCTAGTAATGAGGGCATAAGGGAATATATTATATGGGAATTATATATGGGGTATGTACGGATTATATTCCACAACCACCAGTAAGGTAAACAAACTGTCATTGCCATGAGCTCACGGCACCTTGTCCCCTGCGCGTCGCTTCTTCGCGCTCCGCTCCGCGGCAGGAGGATCAGGGCGCTTGCGCTCCTTCCAGGTGATGAATCTCGATGAATCTCGCGACAGCCCCTCGAGCCACAGTCTAAACTCCTAGTATCCCACTTAATACCCCTTAAAATGCTCGCCTACATAATCCCATGAGCACCATGTATAACCCCCCTTTAAAACACTATAGCAATGTGGCCCTAAACAAGTCATCCGAGCCTCCCCCAGCCGATAGGCACCGTGCGTTTGAAGAGCCTGCACTGAAATCGCACGCAGAAAACTTTCTTGGACACCAGGCACTCTAGAGAACGTGGTCAAGACCATGTTTCAGCTCACGTCTTGCGAAAAGTGCGCTCTTTGCTTCTGCCATGAGCCCTCAAAGCCCAACCCCAAACCTTGGTAAAAGTCATAACAGAGAAACAATCGCGAATAGTAAGAATATTAACAATAACAAGAATTTGCTACCCGGAACTTCCTGGGCCATGTTTGTCAGCACGGCCAATGCGCGGTTCAAGCGCTCGCTGGGCAGCCTGCAATTGTTGAACCGCACTGTTTCTTTGTAGGGCTTAGGGTTGGAAAAAAACTAGGCAAAGAAGTTTCCTAGAAAACTACTAGGAGCACGTCTAACCCAGAATCAGATCTTAAGCACTCGAGGGTTTGATAGACATAGAAGCCACAGCTGAACTCCTGCGTGGCGGCCAGCAAGGGCAGGAAGAATGCACCCAAACAGCAATCCCTATGTCATAGTCTTTCACAATTCCTATTTCCCATGCACTCATTCTTTACGAAAGACCTGTAAGGTTGAACTCAAGAGAGTCCATACCTTACTGGCTCTTAGTGGGGAATGTGAAAATATATGATATAGGGATTACATTCCCTAATTCCCTATTATTCCCTACTATAATCCCAGTAAATACCCTATCAGAAGATGGTAGTTTCTATTTTCTTTTCCATTGTCCCTGTATCATCCCTATTTACTCCTAAACCCCAAAAACCCTGAACCCTAGACCCTAAACCCTAAACGCTAAATCCTAAACCCTAAGCCATAAATCCAAAACCCTAAGCCATAAATCCAAAACCCTAAACCCAAAACCCTAAACTCTAAATCCTAAACCCTAAACCCTAAGCCCCTATTTCCTACTAAGAACCATGCACCTTGCGCACTCCCAAAGGATGAGAACCAGCGTCTTTCCCAGGAAGGCCGCGCTAAGGCTCTCTGCGTTCACCTAGTCAGGATGGGAGTTTTGGGTTTAGGGTTTAGGGGTTTAGGGTTTAGGGGTTTAGGGTTTAGGGGTTTAGGGTTCAGGGTTTAGGGTGCAGGGTTTAGGGCTTAGGGTCCAGGATGGGCTATTAGACCTTAAGCGCCCCTTAATCTACCCGCATTTGGGTCCTAACAGGGGAGTTGCCAAAGTTCGGCATAGACTTGACACTGGGTGATGACAACACCCCTGCCTCCAATTTCTAATCAAGAGAGGGGGATTTCAAGACTTCAGGGTGCCTTTGCGCAAGCGTCTTCATAGCAAGGATTGTATATGGTACTTTCCCACAATAAGGGGACCTCAATATAGACCCCCAAATACTAAAGTCCTTATTATGGGGACACCCCAAAGGGTACCCTTAATTTTGGAAACTACCTTTTTTTTTGCGTGTACATGCGGGATTTGCAGTGTCGGAAATAACCCTTCAGGTGTTCAGGAACAACATCTGCTACATGAAGCCGCAAGCGTTCTCAGGCTGCCGCAGAGTTCCTATACACGCGGCTGATGAGGAACGTAAGCGATGCCGCAACACGATTCGCCTTGGCCATCAGTTGCAGGGACGCCGGCGAATCAAGAGTCACGTAAGCGGATGAACTTAGCTGAAACGATCTGCTTGAGTATGGAGAAATGGAGAACCTTAAACCCTAAACCCCAAACCTTAAACCCTAAACCCTGTTTCCATGTGCCATGGAAAACTGCGATTCACCTGAGGGCTCCGAGTAGAAGCGTGCCGGCACGTTGCTGGAAGCGAGGCAATCTCACTGAGGACGAACGGCAGATTCGGAGTAAAAAACGATGGCAGGGACTCCTGTGTCATAATAATGTAGCAATAATGTAGCAATGATAATCGTAATAATAGTAATACCAATAATAATATTAATAAGCATAATCTTAGCCTTGAAAGGAAGAGTTCGCAGCAGTCGGTCCTCATCCAGCAGCTTGCAAATATGCTGAAGGTTGTCCATCTTCTCACAGAGAACCTGTAGTCCCTCTAGATCTAGAACAAAAAAAACATCCAATCACTTCTTAGGGTCACCCTAAACCCTAAACTGAAAAAGCTGATTCCTAAAGAGAATGCAGGAACCATCGGGGGCAGAATCTTTGGCAGCAGAAGCCTGATCTTGGTCTTGAGCGTACCTGGTCACAGCTGCAGCGCACTTCTCCTCCTAGAGTTTAGGGTTTAGGGTTTAGGGGGGGAGCTGGAGTACCCTAGGACTTACTCTTCTATCGTCGTCCGAGGTGATGTCACATTTCCTCCCTCCGCTTCTGCTGCAGGGATGGCTTTAATTCCTAAAGAGATTGCAATTGGGATCCATCTTGCTGACCGGTGCTATAGTCCCCCTTAAGTAAATAGAATATAAGGTATATGGGGATCCTATTGTAGTATACCCACAGCCACATTCTATCTACTTAAGGGGGACTGTAACCCTAAACCCTAAACACTCAATAATAGTTTCCATGTTCTTTTCCATTATCCCTTCATAACCCCTATATGATCCCCTAATTATAACCACCAGCTCTGTCTTGACGTGGTGCCCCGCAGCAGCAGCTGACAAAGGCTTGCCATCCGGACCTTGCAGGCAAGCGGCCAGCAGGGGATTTATGCAATCAGCTGCAACTAAACGTTGCGTACTGCCCCCACCCTGTAACATTCTATATTAAGGGTCATTTTTAGGGCTATGTATAGCTACGTTAGAAATATTATGCAACTATTACTAAAGCTAAACCCTGAACCCTAAACCCTAAACCAAATATTGTGCAACTAGTACAGAGTGGGGAGGAGCTAACCATGAAAAGCCTTCAAAAGTTCTCGCGGCATCTGGCTTGTAGCCCCCATCTTAAGCAACCACAGATGTCCAGGAGCCACGGATGGGATAAAGCTGTACAACAGGGTGAGGGTTGAGGGTTTAGGGTTGAGGGATATGAGAGATGGCACGTTCCATGCAGAGTTGCACAATGAAGCTCAAGAAATTGCATGTTACATGTTGTGAAGGGCTGGAAGGCTCAAATAAACAAGTCGAGATTTCCCAAACACATGGGGTAGCGTTTCAATTCGGGGGCTCCCCATAATAAGGATTACAATAGTTTGGTGTCTAAACCCTAAACCCTGAACGGGTCCATATTGGGGTCCCTGCTATTTAAGGAAGCTACCAGATACGAGGTTTCATTGTCGCCAGGTATGCGCATGTAAGGCGTGATCCCGGGAATTTCCGTTATGATAATCCCACTTGCTGGGGGCTCACTAGGGAATAAGTGCATGTATATACTGCGGGTTTAAGGTTTAGGGCTATAGGGATCATATTCCCTTGTTCCCTGCTTACCCCACGTATATAACCCTATCACCTATTCCTTCTTGCTACTAACCACCGATGCGCCAAAGAGCTCAACCTGATAGCTTTCCGACTACCCGGGGCTGCTGTTAAGGAACGTGACTTAAGTTACACGATAAGGAGACTAGATGAGTTCACATGTATGCACATTGTGGTAACTGAATCTAAACTCCCTAAGCCCTAAACACTAAACTCTAAACCGACTGTTTGGCCGCGCCACGCCGTGGAAGCTGCGCTCCAGGAAACGGAGGTACTGGTTGTGGTCGGCCAGCAGGAGATCATCAGCACCTAGGGAAACTGCAAGCCAAAAGAAAGCCTGACTTGGGAAATTAGAGAGCATAGATTCCTCCAATGTACCTTTGCAAACTGCCTCTTTCCGGGGGACCCCTCTATACGATCATCCTTAGGATGGGGAGCCCTGTAAAGGTACCCTAACTTTGGGAAAACCTAAACCCTAAACCCTATGCCCTATGTAACCCCCTATATAGCCTCTGTATATCCCTCTACAATTTGGGAAACCTCAATATTCAAAAAGCTACACACCATAACCTCCTCCTTAAACACGTTGGCTCTGATAAGGCCGCCACACATCGGAGTCAACATGCCTCGGCTCAACTCCTAATATAGGGGCCTAAATAATTACCAATATAATTGTGAGGTCTATTTGAGGTACCCTATACTATTTTCATACAAGGACTACGGGACTACTAAACCCTAAAACCTAAACCCTAAACCATGTGCCTTATGTTACACGGCTTTGGAAGTTTCGAGACATCGAAAGGGAGGCTATGAGTTGACCAGCCACAAACCCTCAGAAGCCGCTGCAGGCTTGAAGCAGCTGAAATTGCCTTAGCTAGGGTTTAGGGTTTAGGGTCCAATTGAGCTACAGTCTAAACTCCTAGTATCCCCTTTAATCACCTCTATAATGGTCCCATATAGAATCCCCTGTATCACCCACATTTAAGGAATCTAGACTATGGCTCAATTGTTGTCATGAATCTTCAGAGGGAGAGAGGCTTGCGACTCAATGCAGCTTACCTCCCCTTCGCCAAGCGTCGGTTCCGTCTGATGTGCTGAATTTGGACCTCAACAAAAACAGCAACAAAATACTCAGCTTGTATGCTAGCCCCAATAGAATTTCATATATATTATACTATAGTAGCTTCCATTTTCTTTTCCGTTACCCCAATCTTACCCAAAAATTACCCTATAACCCCGATGTGATCCGAGAGACGCTCCATCAAGCATCTGCGTCAACTGCTGTGAGTTTGGTGCGGCCTGCAAAGCTTGGACACGCCAAGGCAACTTCCTGGGGGTAGGTAGGGAATAATAGAATAAGGGATTATAATATGTAGGGGCTTTATGGGGATGATGGAAAATGAAATTGCAACTTCTATAGTACATAGGGGTTGTATAAGGCTTCTCTGCGGATGATATTCCCTACTATACCCCAGTATATACCCGTTTCAATTGCAATAGTTTCCATACATTTGAAACGCGAAGCCAACTGCAAACCGTGTAATATCGACATGAGGACTAGCAGACTGGAGGTATGATGTCACCAGTACAAGCCGATGATGTACCAAGGCTTCAGCAAGCTCCGGCAGGAAGCAAAGAAACAGGTCACAGAACCCAAAAGACTGCCGTTGTTGATTGTACTAGCAACAAGCTGAACCCCAAATAGTAGTTTCCATTTTCTTTCCCATTATCCCCATATAACCCCTATATAAGTCCAGTAAAAGGATATAATATAACCCATATATAAACATGAGGCAATTTCCAGGGATGTTGAGGCTCACTGCGCCTGAAGTGAAGTGTGCGCCAGCTGCGCCTGCAGCTGGTTAGACGATGGTTGCAAGGATGTAACATCCTGGAGGTAGATAGGGAATAAGGGAACATAATATGTTGGGGCCCTATGGGGATGATGTTCCCTTATTCCCTACGATACCCCAGTATATACCGGTTTAGATGATAATAGTTTCCATTTTCTCTTCCATTATCCCTAAATATTCCCTTTTTCCCTACTAAGCACCCTAAACCCCAAAAATCATAGACCCTAGACCCTAAACCCCTAAACCCCCTACTAAGCATCAGTAAGCTAAAGATCTCCACCCAGCCCCTCGCTCCTCGCCACGGCGGCGCTTCACTGGCGCGCCAGACTGGCATGAGGTCAAATGAGCGCAGCGTCACTACCACTTGTAGTAGTAGCCATCGTAGCAATACTAATAATCATAGCAATAATTAGCCAAAATAATGGTAATGATAATCATAATAACAATAACAGGAACACATAGTAAAAAATACTAACAGGAACAATACGGATAATACTGGTAGCAATAATATAGTAATGGTGGCATCAATAATAGTAGTAGCCAGCACGAATACTAATAACTGAAACAATACAAATAGTATGAGTAACCCAGACCCCTGATTAATAAACCCCCTCCCCTTAATAGGGATTATAATCGGGATCCTAATATACAGGGAAGGAATTTGTTAATTATGGGTCTACATGAGTAAGAGTCACATTGAAACTGCTGTCAGGTGCCTCAGCACTCATGGCCGCTGTGAAGTCTGGGCAGCGCAGCAGCGCAGCCAGGGGCTCCCCTCCCTTCCCGGAAAGGTTTTGGGTTTGGAGCTTAGGGTTTAGGGTTTCGGGTTTGGGGTTTAGGGTAAGGTTTAGGGCTAAGGGCTTAGGGTTTAGGGCCCATCACCTTACTGAGTTACTGGTTAGTAATAACAATGGTCCCTAAATTGGAGGTAGGGATGTATTATAGGGATTATGGAAGAAAAAATGGAAGTACTATTTCGGGTGTAGGGTTGAATGAAGGCTTGTGCTGCAAAGTGGCCAGCTACGACGGATAGCATACGGACTACTCTCGGAATCACGTAGGACTACTATCCAGTCCTCCGTTCCTAGGAACCAGCCACATGTCACATGACCTATAGTCCAAACTCCTTAAAGCGTGTTAGACAAGGGGTTATATAGCTATTTTAGGGGCTAATAAGGGAGATACTAGGAGTTTAGACTATAGCTCACCCAAGTTCACCACTGGGCACGAAGTTCTGACAAACGATGCCTCCCAGTTTCCAGGGATCCTGCAAGCGAGTGCAAACCTATTACTGTAAATCCGCAGCTGCTTCAGTATAATGTGGGAAAATGTGGTATAGCAGAATATGATATAGTATAATATAACATAGTATAATCAGGTGTGAAATAATGAAATATAATATGATATAAGTCAGTATGGAAGGCAACTTCCAACACCCTCGTCCTCTGCTTGTCATGATCTGTGGGGAAGAACGTCATGAGATCCTGGAAGTGATATAGATGCGATGTGATCACATGTCCTTTTTGGGTCACCGACTCTTCTCTAAGCGCACCTTCGCCAGTGCCGAAAGGCCCAACTTGGAGCAGCCGAGGCAGAGGCAAAGCACCGCCGTGCCCAACACGCAGACCACCTGACACCATCCCCAAACATCCGCAAAGCTGCGCCACATGGCCGCAAGGCTACTTAGCACCTCCCGGGACAACTTGGGGAAGTATAAATGCAGAATGAACAGAGCCCATGGCCTCCTTGCTGGGCGAGCTCTGAGACTGCTGCGAGTCACTCGGCTCCTCACCAAGAGTCAAGATCAAAGCAGAAGTGCCGAGCCTGAGACTTTACAACCGGAGAGAAACTCTGGCACCTGTAACACAGCGGCGAGTGAGGCCAAACATGAAGAGCATGCAGCTCCCTTCGCCACGTATCAAATCAATCCCCATCCCCTTGTCTCAAATGCTTCCTACAGGAGATGCATCAAAAA